TGGAGCTTATTAGAGGTTTTTCTTTTCTGCTTTTCCTTAGTGTAGCCAAAGGCATGTCAATTTTGTTTATTTTTTCAAAGAACCAACTTTTTGTTTTATTAATCTTCTGTATAGCTTCCCTGTTGTCAATTTCATTTAGTTCTGATTTGATCTTATTGATTTCACTTCTTCTGTTGGATTTTTGGTGGTCTCTTCTTTTTTCCCAGCTCTTTGAGTTGATTCATTAGGTTGTCTATTTGTGATCTTTGTGACTTTTGGATATAGGCATTTATGGAAGCAAACTTTCCTCTCAGGACTGCTTTAGGTGTGTCCCACAGATTTTGATAACTTGTGTTTCCTTTGCCATTTAGTTCAAAGAATCTTTTGATTTCAATCTTGATTTCCTCATTTATGAAGTAATCGTTAATCAGAAGGTTGTTTAGTTTCCATGACTTTGTGTGGAAATGAGAGTTTCTGTTAGGGTTGATTTCTACTTTTATTCCACTGTGATCTGAAAAGAAACATGGTATAATTTCTATTTTTTAAAATGGTTAGAGGCATGCTTTGTGTCCTAGGATGTGGTCTATCTTAGAGAATGTCCCATGAGCTGATGAGAAGAATATTTATTCAGTGGTTTTTGGATAGAATGTCCTGTAAATGTCAGTCAGGCCCATTTGTTCTAGAGTTTTGTTTAAGTCCATTATTATTATTTTTTAAAATTAGTTTTATGTTTTTATTTTTTTTCTATTTTCAGTTGGCCAATTAATTTTTTAAAACATTTTTTAGTAGAGACAGGGTCTTGCTCTTGCTCAGGCTGTTCTCGAACCCCTGAGCTCAAACTATCCACCCGCCTTGGCCTCCCAGAAAGCTAGGATTACAGGCGTGAGCCACCGCGCCTGGCCCTAAGTCCATTATTTCTTTATTAATTTTCTGTTTGGAGGATCTGTCCTGTGCTGTCAGTGGGGTAAGTCTCTGGCTATTTTGGTGTTGCTGTTTATCAATTTGTTTAGATCAAGTAGAGTTTGCTTTATGAATCTGGTTGCACCTATGTTGGGAATATTTAGAATGCACAATATTTAGAATTTTTATGTCTTCCTGTTGAACTGTATCCTTCACCATTATATAGTGACCCTTTTTGTCTTTTATTACTTTTATTGATTTAAAAACTAAGTTATCTGAAATCAAAACTGCCACATCAGCCTTCTGTTGGCTTCTGTTTTGTTGAAATATTGCTTTCCACTCCTTTACCTTAGTCTAAATGCATCCTTGCAGGTTAGATGTATTTCCTGAAGACAGCAGATACTTGGCTTGTATTTTTTTTATCCATTCAGCCAGCCTATGTCTCTTCAATGGGGAGTTCAAACCATTCACATTTATGGAGAGAACTGATAGGTGGGGCAAATTTCTGGTCAGTGAACTTCCTTGCTTTGTTTTCTCTCTTGAGGCATTGTGCTATCTGGCTTTTGATCTTTAGTGTTTGAATGGTTTTACATTCCTGAGTGTTTATTGTGTTTATCCATGTGTAACTGTTTTGAGTATCTTTGCAGGGCTGGTCTTATCTTGGTGAATTCCCTCAGTCTTTGCTTATCTGAGAATGTCCTTTTATTTCTTCTTCATATGCAAAACTTAGTTTTTCAGGGTAAAAGATTCTAGGCTGGGCATTTTTCTGTTTCACAAGAGTGAGAATGGGGCCCCAGTCTCTTCTTGCTTTTAAATTTTCTGTTGAGAATTCTGGCATTATTTGGATGGGCCTTCTTTTGTATGTTACTTGTTTCTTTTACTTTACAGCTCATAGAAGGGCCTCTTTAGTGGATATTTTGGTCAGTCTGATGACTGCATGTGGTGGTACCTTCCTGTTTGCATTGACTCTCCCAGGGGTCCTTTGAGCTTCTTATACCTGGATATCTAGATTTTTATCAAGGCCTGGGAAATTTTCCTCTATTATGTATTCAAAGAGCTCATCCAACCCTTGAGTGTTTTCTTCCTCAGCTTCAGGGTTGCCCATAACTTTCATGTTAGGTTTCTTCACATAATGCCACATTTCTTTTAGGCTTTGCTCTTTTCTCTTCTTTCTCTGCTCTATCTCTGTGACTGATTAATTTAATTGGAAGGTATTATTTTCAATCTCTGAGATTATTTCTTCTGTTGATCTACCCTGTTCTTGAGGTTTTCCACTGTGTTTTGTAGTTCCCTGAATAGATTTATTTCTAGGAGTTCAGTTTGATTTTTCTTTCATATTTCAATTTCTTTAGTGAATTTTTCTTCCAAGTCCTGGATCTTTTTTGTTTGTTTCTTTGTGTTGGTTATCCATTTTTTTTCTTGCATGTCATTTAGTTTTCTTATCATCCATGTTCAAAATTCTTTTGTCATTTTAGTGTTCTGACTTTGGTTAATGTCCATTGCTAGAGAGCTGGTGCTCCTCTTTGGGGGTTGCTTTCTGTTTAATTCTTCATACTTCCTGAGTTCTTTCACTGATTTCTTCCCATATGGATCAGTTGTTACTTCTTACCCTTAGATTTCTGTTTGGCTAAGGACACACCCTGTTTAGTCTCTGAGCCCATCATTGGTGTTTGTGTGAGATTTGACCACACCCTGTATGATACGTCTATAGATGTACTTAAAGGGTTTTCAGAATGACCTCCCTGTCAGTAGGTGGTGCTTGCTGGGAGGAGCAGGGTGCAGTGTTGTTTTTGGGTCCTATAACTAGCTCTTGTTCCTCTGGAGAGGCACTCTTGTTCCTCAGGTGGTGGGTTGCGCCTGAGACTTCCAGGTGTGCCCTAATTCTCCACCTCAGTGGGGGCAGGTCTAGGAGTGAGTCTAGACAGAGCTGCATTTGGTGAGCCTGCTCTCAAGCACCACAAATGCTGTTAGGAGGGGTCAATGGTCTGTTTTCTGCTTCTGAGAAAAGCTGTCAGGGGAGGGGTTGGAATGGCCCTACTCAGCAGGAAATACTCTGTGTGTGGGCGTGGGGCTGTCTGAGACCTGTAGTCAGCAGCAGATACTCTGTGTGTGGGCATGGGGCTGTCTGAGACCTGTAGTCTGGAGCAGGCCTTGCTCCTTTCTACCCTTCCTTATTCCATGGTTTCTCCTGGGTCTCTTCCAGCAGCCAGGACCTCACGCCAGTGGATCTCCCCTAGCTGTCATGTGAGCTGGGAGGTTCCCTGCCCACGATTGCAGCCTGAGCTGGGTACCTGGCCCTCCTGTGGGAGGAGGGTTGCCCTCAAGCATGCCGATCTGCCCCTGAAGGCACACACACCTTAGTAGGCTTGTTCACAAATATCCTTTCTGTGTCCCCAGGCCAATGCAATTGAGACCAGGGTGTACAGGATCTCGTGTTCAGGCATGTCCCCTGGGCCCTGGAGATCAATCCCTGACACTGCCAGGGAGAGGAGTGCTGGTCTAATGTCACCCATGGGCTGCCCAAGCTGGATTGATGTCTCTCCACCTTGGGATTTTCCCCATTCCCCTGGAGTCACCAGGTTAGCAGTACCTGGGAGGGCTGGCAGGTAGGGATCTCACAGTCTGAGTAGCCCTCAGTCTGCTGTATGGCCTCAAAATGAAAGGTCCCATTCCTTGGAGATGCCTCCGTGTGATGGCTAAATTGCCTCTCTGGGCACCCACCGGTAGGAAAGAGGAAGGAGAGACTGAAGCAATATGGTTCCTGCCAATCAGCTCAGGTCTGCATGTGGGGTAGTGCCCTGAGGGAACTGGTAGTCTGGTGTCTTGTCCACAAGAGGCTCACCACTCAATGACAGCAGCTGTCTCTGGGCTAGTGTCGGCAGGTCTCTCCAACTGCTCGGGAGCCCACCGGCAGTCCAAGATGCAAGGGAGAGGAAAGTTAACTGCCCTATCTACCCTTGTCGCTGCTCTCCAAGGCTCTCAGAGGCCTTTCTCCTTACAGTTCTCCTCTGCAACTTCTTCCCATGGAGTCTCCTGTAGTCTCAGGTACCCTTCCTTCTGACCACCATCCAATCTATGTTTGTCTACTTGTTTATTTTTTTTTTTTCACTTTCTCCTAAAATCTGTCTTTTTCGCAGAGACACTCTGGCTGGTGGTTTTTCTCGTCCACCATCTTGAATTCCTCCACTAAATGCTTCATATTCCTTTTTTTGACAAATGTCTATTCATGTCCTTTGCACACTTGTTAATGGGATTATTATTTTTTTTTCTGTTGACTTGTTTGAGTTCCTTGTATATTCTGGATATTAGACTCTTGTCAAATGAATAGTTTCCAAATATTTTATCCCATTCAACAAGTTGTTTCTTCACTCTGTTGACTGTTTCCCTGTTGTGCAGAAGCTTTTTAGTTTATTATGGTTCCATGTGTCTGTTTTTGGTTTTGTTGCCTGTGCTTTTGAGGTCTTAGCTATAAAACTTTTATCTAGACCAATGTCCTGGAGTGTTTCCCTTACATATTCTTCTGGTAGTTTTATAGTTTCAGGTCCTATATTTAAGTCTTTAAACTATTTAAGCCCCCATGTGCACACTGGCCCACCGTGCTTAGCTGTAGATGCCCGAACCCCTCAGACACTGGCTCACACGGAACTTCTTCTCCGACCTCCACTCTCTTGCGCTTGGCAGCTGCTGCAGCCCCACCCTGTGCTCCTGCAGAGCAGGACACCCCGCACGCTGTGCAGACAGGCACACGGCCTCCCAGAGGGGCCAGCCTCCACCTCCCGAATCCCAGTGGCACACCCCACACCCACGGAGGCCTGGCACCAGACCGAGAAGTGGCGGGCTCACTCGGGACGGCAAGACAGTGACCACAGGCCCCTGCTGAGCACACAGAGGCCCCCGAGGCCAGAGGCCCAGTCTCGAGTCCAGAGCGTGTGTGGGAGACCAGGCGAGGACCCGCTCCTGCTCGGCTGCCCCAGCCCTGGGCCTGCGGACGTGGCATTGACCCCCAGCCTCTGGGCAGACGGCCCCTCTCCCACGGCTCCCTTGGCAGCTAGGGTCCCCTCGAGATGCCCAAGCAGCATGGAAGGTTTGAAAAGGAGACAAAAACCTCCATGAGAAAGCAGTTTCACAAGATAAAATACACGTTTATTGTAGGGTACAAGCGCACGTGGCAAAGCAGTGCTGGGCAGACCCTGTGCTGCAGCCCCACGCAATGGGCGTCCAGCCGGTCAGAGAGAAGCCTGCATTTGGAGCTCAGAGCTGCAGGCAACACGGCGGGGAGTTGAGTACAAGCCAGCAGGACACGTAGGCCGGGTGGCCCCAGGCTCGGACGTGGTGCCCCTCTGGTCCCGGGTCTTTGGTCTCCGATGCTCTTCCGTGGGGGGGGGGCGCGGGGGGGTCATTTCACCTGCGGGCGACAGAGGCAGTGTGGATGGCTTTCCCACTGTTGGGGTGGGAGTTGGGGGAGACCTGGCCAGGTTGGCATGGTGGGGTCCCCAGACCCCAGGACTGACGTCCAGCCCAATGGTGCTCCATGTCGCATGTTCTCTGCATGCACCCTCCTCAGCCCTGTGGCCCCGGGTGCTCTACCTTGAACAAGGTGACAGTGGTGCTGTAGAAGAGGCTCAGGAGGAAGAGGACGATGAAGGTGGAGGCAGTGGTCCACAAGCTCTCGAAGCCCTCCTCCTCAGCACTCACCTCCCCCTCTGCAAGGTGACAGAGACAGGGGAAAAGAGTTAGGCTCAGGTGGATGCCCATGGCTGGGCCTGTGGCAGTGACTGCCCAACAAAGTCAGCCCCCCCCAGGGCCTGAGCAGGACAAGTAACTGTCCTCCATTGGCCTCTCAGCCGTGCTGCACCCAGAGTGCTGGGTTGGGGGCAGTAGAAGGGAGGGGGCAGAGAAAGGGGATGATTAGAGCACTGTGTGCATGGTGTGAGTGCTGTGTGCATGATGTGGGCATTATGTGCATGCTATGTGCACAGTGTGGGTGCAGTGTACAAGATGTGTTTGCTGTTTGCATGGTGTGAGTGCTGTGTGCATGGTGTGGTTGCTGTGTGCATGGTGTGAGTGCTGTGTGCATGGTGTGAGTGCTGTGTGTATGGTGTGAGTGCTGTGTGCATGGTGTGAGTGCTGTGTGCATGGTGTGAGTGCTGTGTGCATGGTGTGAGTGCTGTGGTGCATGTGTGAGTGCTTGTGGTGCATGGTGTGGATGCCTTGTGCATGGTTGTGAAGTGCTTGTGCATGGGTTGGTTTCCTGTGTGGTTGGTTGAGTGCTGTGTGCATGGTTGAGTGCTGTGTGCATGGTGTGAGTGCTGTGTGCATGGTTGAGTGCTGTGGTGTATGGTGTGAGTGCTGTGTGCATGGTGTGAGTGCCTGTGTGCATGTGTGAGTGCTGTGTGCATGGTGGTGAGTGCTGTGTGCATGGTGTGAGTGCTGTTGGTGTATGGTGTGATGCTGTGTCATGTGTGGTTTGCTGTGTGCATGGTGTGAGTGCTGTGTGCATGGTGTGAGTGCTGTGTGCATGGTGTGAGTGCTGTGTGCATGGTGTGAGTGCTGTGTGTATGGTGTGAGTGCTGTGTGCATGGGTGTGAAGTGCTGTGTGTATGGTGTGAGTGCATGTGGTGTATGGTGTGAGTGCTGTGTGCATCAGTGTGAGTGCTGTGCCTGGTGTGAGTGCTGTGGTGCCATAGTGGTGTTGCTGTGTGTATGGTGTGAGTGCCTTGTGTGCATGGTGTGAGTTGCTGTGTGGCATGGTGTGGTGCTGTGTGCATAGTGTGAGTGCTGTGTGCCATGTGGTGATGCTGTTGTGTATGTGTGAGTGCTTGTGGTATGGTGTGAGTGCTGTGTGCATGGTGTGAGTGCTGTGTGCATGGTGTGAGTGCTGTGTGTATGGTGTGGTTGCTGTGTGTATGGTGTGGTTGCTGTGTGTATGGTGTGAGTGCTGTGTGCACTGTGTGGTTGCTGTGTGTATGGTGTGAGTGCTGTGTGCACGGTGTGAGTGCTGTGTGTACGGTGTGAGTGCTGTGTGTATGGTGTGAGTGCTGTGTGTATGGTGTGAGTGCTGTGTGCACGGTGTGGGTGCTGTGTGTATGATGTGAGTGATGTGTGCACGGTGTGGGTGCTGTGTGCATGGTGTGGGTGCTGTGTGCAACGTGTGGTTCTGTGTGTAATGGTGTGAGTGCTGTGTCATGGTTGTGGTGCTGTGTGCACGGTGTGGGTTCTGTGTGTATGGTGTGAGTGCTGTGTGCACGGTGTGGGTGCTGTGTGCACGGTGTGGGTTCTGTGTGTATGGTGTGAGTGCTGTGTGTATGGTGTGGGTGCTGTGTGCACGGTGTGGGTTCTGTGTGTATGGTGTGAGTGCTGTGTGCAGGGTGTGGGTGCTGTGTGCATGGTGTGAGAGCTGTGTGCATGGTGTGAGTGCTGTGTGCATGGTGTGAGTGCTGTGTGCACAGTGTGGGTGCTGTGTGCACGGTATGAGTGCTGTGTGCATAGTGTGGGTGCTGTGTGCATGGTGAGGGTGCTGTGTACAGAGTGTGGGAGCTGTGTGCAGAGTGTGGGTGCTGTGTGCATGGTGTGGGTGCTGTGAGCAGAGTGTGGGTGCTGTGTGCATGGTGAGGGTGCTGTGTACAGAGTGTGGGAGCTGTGTGCATGCTGTGGGTGAGCTCCTGCTGCTGTCTGCCTCTGGGGGCAGGAGTTCCAGGGCTCAGTCTGTAAGAGTCTGGGGCCAGCATGGGTGGGGTCCCCGATAGCCTGCTGCAGGGGTGGGCTTGGGCCGAGGCTCAGCAGGGCTGTGGCCCTGAAGTCCTGTCCCGGGAGCCCTGGGGTGGCAGAGCAAGCATGACAGATGCAGCACACGGACACATGGGGGCAGGGAGCGGGGGTTGGGACCCCAGAGGAGTGGCAGCCAGCGTGTTCCAGGCTCTCCTGGTGGAGGGGGCAGCTCAGCCAGGGCGGCTGGAGCTGAAGCAGGGAGCGAGGCCTCCCGCCCTGTGCTGTGGGGGTGCGTGCCTGGGCCTGAGAGGCGCCCACTCCTCACTTCCTCCCCTCCCCCTTGGGCCGAATCCAGTAGGGCTGACTCAGGATGGCCCTTGGGACTGAGGCTGGCCAACACTTGAGCTTCACTGTGGGACGAGGGCATTTGGGGTCTGCCGTCCTGCACACATGGGCTCCTGGGGCATCTGGAGCTTAGGCCCCCAGAGGGCCAAGAGCGTGGGGAGGGTCCCAGGCCGGCCTACCGGGGTGAGTGCTATCTGTTGGGTGTGGAGGCCTCGCTTGGGCCCTGCCTTCCTGCCCGGGGCGTGGCCTTCCCTGGGCAGCTGCCCCTGCTCTGGGCTGGGAGCAGAGGGTTGCCGGGCAGCCTCGCTGACCCTGCTCCCCTGGGGCCCCGGGTGACAGGAGCGGGGCCCTGCCCTCTGGGGCAATGCTCGGACACTGCCTGCTCCGCGAGGGCGTGCAGGACCCTGGCTCTGTTCACAGGCGGTGCTGGGCGGCTGCTGCCTCCCCCAAGGGGCTGGACCAGGAGGCCACCCCGCCCCGGGCGCAGGCCTGGGCCTCCCTGGAGGGCTGCAGCTGGCCTGGCCCAGTGAGGCACTCTAAGCCCTTGCTCAGGACCTGCGCACAGAGGCCCTGGCCACAGTCCAGGCAGGGCCAGCCGGTGGGAGCACCTCCAGGCCGAGACAGGAGGACAAGCAGAGCCTGGGGCGGGAAGCCGTGGAGCCAGCACGCAGCAGGGAGCAGGACACGGGAGCATGGAGCGGTGGGCAGAGGCCCTGAGTGACAGAGGAGTGTGGGGCTGGCCTGTGTGTGCGTGTCTGTGTGCGTGTGTCCACACGCGCACATGCGTGTCTCTGTGCATGTGTTCATGTTTGCATGTATCTTCACACCGGTGTCTGTTGCATGCACGTGCATAGATGCACATGTGTCTGTGTGTCCAGGTATGCATATGTGTGCATGTCCACCCATGTGCATGTGTGCCGCCTGTGCCACGTGGCCCTGCTTCAGCTGCCCTTCTGGAAGCAGCGGGAGGAGCAGCGAGCCTGGGCTCTGCCGGGCGTGCAGGGCTTCCCGAGGTTGCCCAGAGACGTGAGTGGGCGAGGTGGTGCCTGTGTGGGGTGCAGGGGTGCGGGGCGGGTGGGCGCAGCGCAGCCACGGCCCTGGCAGGTGAGGGTCGTGCACTCAGGACCAGTGTCTTTTGAAGGGATCTTTTTATTTCTAATTTTCATAACAGGCACGTCTCCCCACCGACAGGGCGAGCTTGCGCACACAGAGCGACTGGCCGCCAGGGCCGGGGCTGGCGGGCAGGCCCGCACGGTCAGTAGCAGGTGCTGGCCGTGTCGGACAGGACCAAGGACACGTTGTACAGGGTGGGTTTACCGGTGGACTTGTCCACGGTCCTCTCGGTGACCCTGTTGGGCAGGGCCTCGTGGACCACGACGCAGGTGAAGGCCTCCCCCGAGCTCCACTCCTCCTCGGACACGGTCAGGAAGCTGTGGGTGAAGTAGAGGCCTGGGGCGTGGGGCTCGGGCGCCGAGGCGCTGGTCACGTACTTGTCCGGGGACACGGGCTGCCCCCTCTGCATCCACTGCACGGACACGTCCGCGGGGGAGTAGCCCTTCACCAGGCAGGTGATGGTGGCCGCCTCCCGCAGGCTCAGCTGCTCCCGGGCCGGTGGCAGCATGTAGATGTCCGGCTTGTGCAGGGCCACACCTGCGGGCAGACGGGGGTGAGGGCCTGGCGGGGCGGCGGGGGGGCGGGGCGTGGGGGGCGGGGCGCGGGGGCGGGGCCTACCCTTGGGCTTGGAGAGGCTCTGCTTGAGCGGCGCGGGCAGGTCCGAGTGGGTCACGGTGCACGTGAACCTCTCCCCGGAGTCCCACTCGTCCTCGCAGATGCTGGCCTCGCCCAGGGCGCTGAAGGTGGCGTTGGGGTGGCTCTCGGAGATGTTGGTGTGGGTTTTCAGGGCCTTGCCGTTCTGGCGGGTCCAGGAGATGGTCAGGCTGTCATAGGTGGCCAGGTCAGTGACCAGGCAGGACAGCTTGGCTGACTTGGTGAGGAAGATGCTGGCAAACGAGGGGGGGATGGTGAAGACGCGGATGCCTGCGGAGGGGCCTGGGGCGAGAGAGCACAGGGCTCAGGCACTGGCGGGCGAGGGTCCAGCTGAGGGAGCAGCTCCCCTGCCTGGTCCCTCCGCAGGCCTGCCCGCCCTGCCTGGGGAAGCAAAGGTCAGAGAGCAGATGGCAGGTCAGGCAGCGTCTGTCAGACCCAAGAGGACCCGAGTGTGCACGCATGTGTATGCATGTGTGTGCATGCGTGCATGCGTGTGCATGCTTGTGCATGTGTGCATGTTTGTGTGTGCATGTGTGTGTGAGTGTGTGTATGAAGGGACAGTGGGTGCTGCCCGGAGGGACAGGCCACTCACTGGTGCCACACGTGGAGGACACGTTCTTCAGGAAGGTCAGGCCGCTGTGTTCCACGCGGCAGGTGAACACGGTCTGGATAAGCCAGTCGCTCTCGTTGACAGTCAGTGTGCTGGTGACCTTGAAGGTGGAGGGCCCAGACCCGTTGGCCTCCGGCTCCACCGGGCCCGTGGTGATGCCGGACTCCACCAGCTTCCCCTCGCGCAGCCAGGACACGGCGATCTGCCGGGGGCGGAAGCCTGTGACCTGGCAGAGGAGCTTGGACGTGCGGGAGCTGGTGCTGGAGAAGGTGTCTCGAGGCGGGATGAACACGGTCACGGTGGGGGCCTCAACAGTCACCACTGCCGGGAGGGGACAAGGTGTCAGCCGGGTCGGCCCCCCGAGGCTCCTCCCGCCCGGCTCGCCCGGGGTCCGGGCGGCCACGCCGGGCTCCGGCAGGGTGGGGGCAGCAGGGCTCACCTGGCAGCGGCACGTCCAGGTCCTTGTTGCCGTTGTTGTGCCGCACCTTGCACACCACGTGCTCGTCGGTGCCCTGCAGCACGTCCTTGGAGGGCAGCAGCACCTGCGAGGTGGCCGTGTACCTGCCCTCCCTCAGCACGGACGGGAAGGTCCGGACGCTGCTGACGGCGGAGGAGTTCTTGTAGTTCCAGGAGAAGGACACGGAGTCGGGCAGGAAGTCCCGGGCCAGGCAGCCCACCACCACCGTGCTCGCATCCAGCACGGCGCCGTCGCAGGAGACCAGGGGGAACAGCGACGGGGGTGACGAGCTCTCTGAGGACCGTGGGGGGGACAGCAACAGGGAGGGGTGAGGAGCTGAGCCCCTGGGCGTGGCCAGGCAGGGGTCTCTCTCCGCGCCCACCCCGCCTGGCTGCCCTCAGAGCCCTGGGGGACTGGCTGACAGCGGGCGGACGTCGGACGGGGCCTGGGGTCCTTGAACCGGGCTGCTGGGGCGCGGAGACCCCTCCTGCCGCAGAGCTCAGCTCCGAGCTCGGGGGCGGGCCTGGGGGTGGGAGCAGGCCGACTGAGCACTCCTGTCCCCACCCATCTGGTGCCGTCCTGCTGGGCCTGCGCCAGCTCTGCCTTCCCTCCGCTGCGTTGGCGCCACCGTGTTGGTGCGCTCAGCTCCGAGCGCATGGAGGGCCCAGGCTCCGCGGCACGAGGCTGGGAGCCACACGAGGCGGCCAGAGTGGAGGGGAGCTCTCCCCGCCAAGCTGCGCCAGCCCAGTCCACTGCAGCCCCCTGAGGTCCCCTGACCAGGCACCTCAGGCCCTGTGAGGTCAGAGGGAGGCTGGCATGGTGGGGAGCCCTGTGCAGACGTAGCTACCCAGACAGCCAAGTCCAGCAAGATCACCAAGAACAGCACACCACAGCCGGCCGGGACACTCCGGCTCAGCCCGCTAAGCCCAGCTGAAGTCATTCCAGCCCAAAGCAGAGATGTGAACTCATTCCCGTCAAGCCAAACCACAGGGACTAGCCATGGGAGACCAAGCTCACCTTACCCTACAAGCCAGGGTCAAACACCAGACCCAGGCCATGGCAGAAGAGCCCACATCAGACAAGCCAAGTTCAGCCCAGACCAGTTCAGATCAGCCCAGTTCAACCCAGTTCAGCCCAGTTCAACCTAGTTCAGTCCACCCAAGCCCAGCTCAGCCCAGCTCGGTCCAGCTCAGCTTAGCCCAGCCCAGCCTAACCTAGTTCAGCCCAGTTTAGTATAATTCAGTCCAGTTAAGCCCAGCTCATCCCAGTTCAGCCTGGCTCAGTCCAGCCCAGCTCAGCCCAGCTCAGCCCAGCTCAGCCCAGGCCAGCCCAGCCCAGGCCAGCCCAGCCCAGCTCAGCCCAGGCCAGCCCAGTTCAGCCCAGCTCAACTCAGCCCAGCTCAGCCCAGTTCAGCCTGGTTCAGCCCAGCTCTGCCCAGCTCAGCCCAGCTCAGCCCAGATCAGCTCAGTTCAGCCCAGTTCAGTCCAGCCCAGCTCAGCTCAGCCTGGCTCAGCCCAGCTCAGCTCAGCCTGGCTCAGCCCAGCCCAGCCCAGCTAAGGTCAGCCCAGCTCAGCCCAGCTCAGCCCCGATCAGCTCAGTTTAGCCCAGTTCAGCCCAACCCAGCTTAGCCCAGCTCAGCCCAGCTCTGCCCAGCTCAGCTCAGCCTAGCTTGGCCTAGTTCAGCCCAGCTCATTCCAGCTCAGCCTGGCTTAGCCCAGTTCAGCCCAGTTCAGCCTGGCCCAGCTCAGCTCAGCTCAGCTCAGCCCGGCCCAGCCCAGTTTAGCCCAGCTCAGGCCAGCTCTTCTTGGCCCAGGTCAGACCAGCTCAGCCCAGCTCATCCAGGCTCGGCTCAGCCCAGCTCAGCCCAGCTCAGCCCAGCTCACCCCGGCTCAGCCCAGCTCACCCCGGCTCAGCCCAGCTCACCCCAGCTCACCCTAGCTCAGCCCAGCTCACCCCGGCTCAGCTCGGCTCAGCTCAGCTCACCCCAGCTCAGCCCAGCTCACCCCGGCTCAGCTCGGCTCAGCTCAGCTCACCCCAGCTCAGCCCAGCTCACCCCGGCTCAGCTCGGCTCAGCTCAGCTCACCCCAGCTCAGCCCAGCTCACCCCGGCTCAGCTCGGCTCAGCCCAGCTCACCCCAGCTCACCCCGGCTCAGCTCGGCTCAGCTCAGCCCAGCTCAGCCTGGCTCAACTCGGCCCAGCTCAGCCCAGCTCAGCTCAGGCCGGCTCAGCACAGCTCAGCTAGGCTCAGATTAGCTCAGCTTGGCCCAGTTCAGCCAGCCCAGCTTAGCCCAGCTCAGCCCAGCTCAGCTTAGCTCAGCCTGACCCAGCTCAGCCCAGTTTAGCTCAGCTTAGCCCAGCTCAGCCCAGCTCAGCTTAGCTCAGCCGGCCCAGCCCAGCTCAGCTTGGCCCAGGTCAGCCCAGGTCAGCCCAGGTCAGCCAAGCTCGGCCCAGCTCAGCCAAGTTCAGCCCAGCCCCACTTAGCCCAGCTCACCCCGGCTCAGCTCGGCCCAGCTCAGCCCGGCCCAGCTTAGCCCGGCCCAGCTTAGCCCAGCCCAGCCTAGCCCAGCTCAGCCCAGCTCAGCCCAGCTCAGCCCAGCTTAGCCCAGCCCAGCTCAGCCCAGCTCAGCCCAGCTTAGCCCAGCCCAGCTTAGCCCAGCTCAGCCCAGCTCAGCCCAGCTCAGCCCAGCTCAGCTCGGCCCAGCTCAGCCCAGCTTAGCCCAGCCCAGCTTAGCCCAGCTCAGCCCAGCTTAGCCCAGCTCAGCTCGGCCCAGCTCAGCCCAGCTCAGCTCGGCCCAGCTCAGCCCAGCCCAGCTTAGCCCAGCTCAGCCCAGCTCAGCCCAGCCCAGCTTAGCCCAGCTCAGCCCAGCTCAGCCCAGCTCAGCTTGGCCCAGCTCAGCCCAGTTCAGCCAGCTTAGCTCAGCCCGGCTCAGCTCGGCGCAGTTTAGCCCAGCACAGCCCAGCTTAGCCCAGCTTAGCCTGGCTCAGCCTGGCCCAGCTCAGCCCAGTTTAGCTCAGCTCAGCCCAGCTCAGCTTGGCCCAGGTCAGCCCAGCTCAGCCCAGCTCAGCTCTGCCCAGCTCGGCCCAGCTCAGCCCAGTTCAGCCCAGCCCCACTTAGCCCAGCTCAGCAGGGCTCAGCCCAGCTCAGCTCAGCCCAGCTCAGCTCAGCTCAGTGTAGCCTGGCTCAGCCCGGCCCAGCTCAACTCAGCCCAGCTCAGGTCAGCTGTGTGGCCTGGCCCAGCTCAGCCCAGTTCAGCTCAGCCCTGCCTAGCACAGCCCAGTTCAGCTCAGCCCAGCCCAGCTTAGCCCAGCTCAGCCCAGCTCAGCTCAGCTTAGCCTGGCTCAGCCCGGCCCAGCCCAGCTCAGCCCAGCCCAGCTCAGCCCAGCTCAGCTTAGCCTGGCTCAGCCCAGTTCAGCTCAGCCCAGCCCAGCTTAGCCCAGCTCAACCCAATTCAGCTTGGCCCAGCTCGGACTAGTTCAGCCCAGCCCAGCTTAGCCCAGCTCAGCTCAGCCCAGCTCAGCCCAGCTCAGCTCAGCCCAGCCCAGCCCAGCCCAGCTCAGCCCAGTCCAGCTCAGCCCAGCTCAGCTTGGCCCAGGTCAGCCCAGCCCAGCTCGGCCCAGTTTAGTCCAGCTCACCCCGCTCAGCCCAGCTCAGCTCACCCTGTTTATTCCAGATCAACTCAAGCCAGCGTTCCCCCCTCGCCTGTTCCTGAGGGCCGGGAGAATGGCAGTGGCTGGAAAGGGGCTGCGCAGGGCCATCTGCCTTAGCTAACGCCGCCTGGTTCCTGGGTCCCTGCGCAGCCGGGCCGGCTGCCGCCCTCCCCCTGCCTGCACGGGCACCCGCGTCCCAGGCCCACCCGGGCTTCCTGTGGTGTTGGCCCCAGAGCAGTTCCAGTCCCTGCCGCCCTCCCTCCTTGGGGAGAAGACCTGGCAGCTTTAAAGTCAGGAAGGCCGTCCGGAGATTTAAATTGAGAATCTGGGAGCCTCTCTCACGACAACAAGCAGGCCCCGGCCAGGGTCGCTCCCTTCTGAGTCTAAAACAAGCCCCTGGCTTCGAGTCTCCTCTGGATAAAAGTCATCACTGGAAACGCCCGGGAAAGGCACCTGTCTGACTTCAACGGCTAAAACCGTGCTGGCCACCACACCCTCCTTTGGAAGGCCTAGGCCGCCTCCTAGGGCAACCCGAGGGTCCCGGAGCCAAGGCCCATCTGCAGCTCGGCTGAGGGCCCTGCATGCGCCGCCTGTCCTCAGTCCCCACACGCCCCTGACCAGCAGCTCACAGGCAACAGGGCAGCTTGTGCCAAAGTGCTCTCGACATGCTCTTCGGGAAACGCTGGCCAGGAGTGACCCGGGCCGAGGTCCCTGGCAGCACCACAAGGGACCACAAGGGACAAGCCTGTTTGTCCTCGTCAAGCCGTGAAGACCAACCCCTCACGCAGAAACCAGACCACACACACGGACTTCGGAGGGAAGCAGACGTGGCCGTGGCGGCTGTCACTCTTACCGCATCCATGACCGGAGGGTCCCGTGGGGTCTTTGGCGCGAAGGGAGCCCTCCAAGTCCGTGAGAAGCAGCCGGTCCACGGGTAGCCTGCCAGCCAGTCGGGCTGGTGGCCGGAGCCACCCTGCCCATGCGCTGCCGGCTCCGGGCGGCCCAGGAGGCCCGAAGCCCAGGCCAGGCGTGGTGGCAGCCAGCCGGGCCCGCAGCCCCACAGGGCAGGGCGCGGCTTCCGCTCCGCGGCGCTCCTGAGTGCCTTCCTACCGTGCCGTGAGCCTGAGCTTCCTCTGAATCCAACTAACACGCCCAACAGAAACAATTCCGAAGACTACGCACCGCCTCACCTGACATCTGCCCTAAAGTGACCATTCGGAAAGCAGCCTTGAAGCACACTGCAACGGAGGCAGCTCTATCAGAGCATCAGCGCTCCTTCGCAATCACGGGGAGAAAACTGATAACGCCTGCTCACTCGGCCTTGGTGAAAACAATGCTTCGATATGGGCAACTATTACGTGCCCATTATAATTAAAAATAAAAATTAAAGAAAAATAATGCTTTGGGGCATTGGAAAAAGGTTTGAGACTCATTGTTACGTGAAAGAATAACAGAGTAAATTTAAAAAGTTTTATGAACACACCAATACACTTTCCCTAAGACTGTTTAATTTCTTAAACATCCTGCTCTAAAAACTAATACAATTTAGAAGCTGATAAGCTCACTCTGAACAAACTAGAAGTTCATAAATTAAGATTAAAATATTAAGTTCAAGTAGCTAAAAAGGGAAGCTTTCTAGTTTCTGCCGGCCTCGCCTTATTTTAGAAATGCAAAAGAGCCAGATGTTGTTTTGCCCGAGGAACACTTTCAGACCTGCGGGCGGGCAAAGCCTTCCCAAACCACTTCTCCAAAACCGTAAGCTATAAATTTACCGACTGTGTCTTTCTGCTTCCTAAAATAGACTCTCGGTGCGACCCGCTTCCTGCCACCTGCTGCAGGAGCCCCAGCCCCACACGCAGCCATGCTGACTGCCACGCTCCACCCACCCTGGCCTCGCTCCGTTCATCTGAAACAGGAACCTGACCTGTCATTGTCACAACTCGGTCCGCACGAGGGGGGGGGGAGCACAGCACCGCCCGGCTACATCCGCAGCAGCCACTGTCAGAAAGACGCGAGTCTCCCTTGTCAATTCAGTGATGATAAGGATTTTAAGTACTTTGACATTTAACAAGATTAAATATACCTGAAAAGTCTCCCACGTTAAGTCACAACTTTCTCAGCCATTTTTCTCAGGAGCCCCTCCAAAGACAGCGGGTCTTTAGCACTGACGTGCGGGCCCCTGCGGGACACGCCATCTCCTCCTGGAAGCTGCCCCCCTGCCCGGCCCCGAGCTCTGGGCCCTGAGTCCCCCCAGGACCTGGCTGCTCCTCAGGGCAGCTCCTCGGCCCCCGCTCTTGCCGGGACCAAGACCCTCCTCACTGGGGTCTCTCGCCGACACTTCTCTGTCTAAGCAACCAAGAATGTTAGATGCAACCAGCAGCACCCTAAAGAAAGTCTCTCACCTCGAGTTCCACACACCAAGTTCCTGTGCCTCCAAACGCCCCTGCCAGACTGCTCCTCAGCCGACTCTGACTCCAGACACCCAGCCGCTAGCTCGCCCCGGAGCCCTGGTCTTTGCCAGAATGTCTCCCACACACGCCCCCGGCCCCTCTCCCAGGGCTCAGTCCCTCGGCCCGGCACGCCAAAGTGGCTCCCACTTTCCAGAGGCGTCGGAAAACCCACGCAGGCCCCCGAAGTCCCTGGGTCCCCGTCCCTCCTGGCCGGCCCTCCTGGGTCCCCTGGGGGACGGGTCCCCAGGACCAGCCCGAGATGCTCAGAAAACCCCCCAGGCAGGAGGAGAAAGTGGAGGCCGTGGAGTGGCCGTTCTTACCTGAAGAGACGGTGACCAGGGTCCCTTGGCCCCAGTAATCCATACCGTAGTAGTCACAGTGGCCGATACCCCGTCGCCACCCCACAAAAACCCCTGTCACCCTGCCTGGTGTCGCCCCGGCCGCCTGAGACCGGCGGGTCTCCAGGCGCTACACGGAGGCCGACTGCCGAGTCCTGGTTCCCTGGGCTGTCCGCCCGCATCCCACCTGGGCCAGAGGGTCCTGAGACCCTCTGTGGGGCCACCGTCACTCCCAGGCCACGGCCGGCCGGCAGACAGGCCAGAGTGGCCCAGCCACTCCTGCCCCGGGAGGCGGGATCTTCGGAGGGGCCAGAGGTCCGGGCAGAGGGGACGGTGGGGGCCCGGACCACACAGGGACACCTGGGCCGGACTTGGTGAGAGGGAGGCTGGCTCTCCAGCCCCCATTTGTGGGGGCCTCTCCTGAGCCCCCTTTCCTGACCTCAAAAATGCCTTGGTGACTGACCCCGAGACCCTGAACCCAAGTATCCCGAGTCTCCCGGGGACTCACCTGAGGTGACGGTGACGGGCGTGCCCTGGCCCCATAAGTCAAGCCATTCGTCACATTGTGACGATTCTGCCAGGCCCCCCAGCAAAAACCGGCTCCCGGCTGGGCCCTAGGGACCCCTGGGTGGGGCGTGGGGAGATGCCCCGAGACCCCCGGTGCCCAGTGCAGGAGGAGCGTCTGGAACCTCAGCCCGGTGCCCTGTGCCCTGTCAGCCACTGGCCCCTTGGGGCCCCTTCCCAAGCCCCCGACCGTCCCCAGTCCTTCTCGGCCCAAGACCCAGACACACTTGTTTTCCCCCAAAATGCGGCGAAATCCCTGAGAGTTGAGCAGAAAAGGGAGGGGGAGGACTCACCTGAGGAGACGGTGACCAGGGTCCCCTTGCCCCAGTACTCGAAGTAATCACACTGCCAGGGGCCCCGTTAGGGGGTGTACAAAAACTGGGCCGGCCACGGCCACAGGGCTGTTCCTGAGGGCCCCCGGTCCCCGGTCCCCAGACATGGCAGGACGCTGTCCGCCTCACCCTGCAGACACCCCTCGCCAGCCCCCGGTCCCCAGAACAAGGGACGTCTGGAAACGTCTTTCCCAGCTCTGGACAGAGGTGCGGGAAGGATCCGACTCACCTGAGGACACGGTGACCAGGGTCCCCTGGCCCCAGACGTCGTATGCATTGCACAGGCACACAGACCCCGCTCCCGCCCGGACACAAACCCGCCTCTGTCTGGGCCGCCCCGCCGCCGGTTGAGTCCCCCCACCCAGCACGGCCCAGAGCTGAGGGCCGGCAGGTGACGGTGATGGGGGCCCGGCTCCAGCTCTGCCCACAACTTCTCCTTCCCACCAGGCCCCGTCTCTGCCGCGTCTCTCCCGCTTGAGGCTGGCTCCTTACCCAGGGCGGGGCCCTGATGGGACCGGACCCGGCCTGACCTGGGGCTAAGGGCCCCAGGCATGACGGACACCCCAGGGGTGGCGCTGTGAACCCCGGGGCCTTGGCCTGGTGCGGGCTGAGAGGGTGGCAGGGGCTGCAGGGCACTCACCAGAGGACACGGTGACCAAGGTGCCCGGCCCCAGTGCTCAAGGTACGGTGGCACAGTCCTGCCCTCCTGCTTCTCCCAAACAAAACATCTTCCTCCTCCCTCCCTGACCTCCTGTCGCCCAGGCTGAGCCAAACGCCTGCCCTGGCTCAGCTCACCTGGCTGCCTGCTGTGCCCGAAGATCAGGTGCCTTGGCCCTAGCCCTGGAGGTGAGCATGGTCCCAGCCAGCCCTGAGCTGGGTGCAGACACCTGCCCGGGCAGCCCCACCAGGCAGAGGCGGTGGGTGTGGTGCTTTGTAGAGCTGTCAATCACCGTGGCCAAGACCCCACAGCAGAGGGAGCCTTCCGGGCGGGCTGAGCTCACAGCTGAGGCTCCCAGGGTGGTGGGTGCGGGGCGCCCTTGAGGGGCCTGGCCCCGTTAGGCAGGTGATTCCTGATGCTGCCCCTCAAGGCTCCTCTCTCTAATTCCGGCTGCGGGGCTGGGCAGGGCCAACTGGATTCCACCTGTTCCCGAGTCCGGGCAGGTGGGCTCACCCGGGACAGCGGCCCCGCCTGGGCCTCCATGAGCCCACGGGCGGCTGAGTCCCCTCCCGGGCCCTAGAGCTGCTGGACCTGGCCGGGGGCCATCAGCTGTGCCTTGATGGGTGTGGGGGAGGGGCAGGGTGGCCTGGAAACAGGCTTTCATGCAACTTGATAGTGGGGTGCCAGGTGAGGGCTGGGGCACAGGCCCGGCTAAAAGTAATGGTGACAATGAGCCGCTGCCCAGTTTCTTCTCTGTGACTGCCACTCTGCAGCCACACAGCTGGCGGCCACAAAGAGTCCCACCTGTTGGAAACCTTGGGGGGCTTTCTGAGATATTTCTAGGCCCCGAGTCCAGTGGCATGGCCGACGCCCCCCCAGGCCAGCAGCCCCCATTACCGAGGAACCTACTCACTGGAACTGTGACCCCAGGGCCTGGCACAACCCAGGGAGATGGTGTCTACACTCCCATAATTTTGCCCCAGTTAATGAACCTAATTGTTGAGGACTGAACTCTGATCTTTTTCTTTTGCTAAAAACTCCTTCCTAAGGAGGCCAGCTGGGTCAGGCTGACAAATGGTCAATTCCCACTAAGCGGCTTTTGTTAACCAAACAAAGCACTGGTTTACTTCCTGACCTGATTCTGGTATGGCATTAACATCACCTAAAAGATAGGAAGCCCCTGTCTTAACTCAAGCATACTAGCAGATGCCTATCATAAATTTAAAGCATCTTAAAACATCCTAGCAGGCGCCTATTGTAAATTTAAAGTGTCCTCCTGTCTGGACCTCCCAGAGTGCCCACAACCTTATCTTAAAATAAGCATATCCTTTCTGGTCTTCTAGATAAAGTCTAACTCTCTCAGCCAATTGCCAGCCAAAGAATCTTTAAACCCACCTATAACCTGTAAGCCCCCGCTTGGAGATGTCCCACCTTTTTGGGCCAAACCAATGTGTGCCTCTCATGTATTGATTTGTGACCTTGCCTGTAATCCCTGTCTCTCTGAAAATGTATAAAACTGAACTGTGACCCAGCCACAGCAAGCCCACTTGCCCAAGGCCTCTTGGCAGTGGCTCTGGGTCATGGTCCTCAAATTTGGCTCAGAATAAATCTCTTTAAAATTATTTTACAGAGTTTGGTTTTTTTCCGTCGACATTGTCTAATCCCTCTCCTGCCAAACTGTCCCAAAAGGGGCTCGGAGGGGCTGGAGGATGTGTGAGATTTCTTCAGAGTTTCACTCTAAAAGGTTCTCTCTGGCACAGTGTGGGCTGAGCGGGGCAGCCTGGCTGTGGAGAGAGGGTCAGGGACTCCCGTGGGGTGTGGGCAGGACAGGGACACCCAAAGGGGCGGCTGGGTGGGGGCAGGGAGGCTCTCCAGACTTGGCCGGCCAGTCACCTGCAGGTGCGTGGTACCTGCCCAGAGGTGAGAGGAGGTGGCAGGTGGGGCTGAGGACCCTGGGGCTGAGGCTCCCTGGGGAGGGGCTGCAGAGGAGGGTGGCCTGGGTGGGACCTGCAAAGAGTAGGCGGGGGAGGGGCTGGGCCTGGGGCCCTGGGGCGTAGGGTCCACCATCCGCCTCCTCGTGGGTTGGGGTCCCAGTCTCTGGGGAGCCCTGGTGTCCCGCTTGCCCTCAGACTCGCTGGGGGCTCACAGCTCAGGGTCTGCTCGAGCCCGGCCCCTTTCCGAGGCTCTTCTCCCTACTGTCTCAGCCCTGGGGCCTCCCCTGACCTTGCTCCGGCAGCAGACGGAGGCTGCACAGGCCCCCAGGAAGCACCTGCTCCTGCCCTGGTCCCTGGCTGTGGGGGCTGGGCGCCTGCCCTGCCTGCCGTCCCCAGCGTCAGCCCGGCCTCTTCTCAGGCTTCGAGGACCTGCCAGGCTGCCCAGGGTCGGCGGGGAGGCCCTGGGCAGTGGCTGGACCCCCACACTGAGCTCCAGAGAGTGCCTGTTCTCGGGGTGCAGCCTCAGGACAGGACAGAACTGGGCACATGGCTCCCTCAGGCCCCAGAGCGGGAAGAGTCCCACCCTAGACACCTGGGACCGCATGGGACCGGCTTTCCCGTGGGGAGTGGGGATCCCGCTCTGGCCACACCGGCTCCTGGGGCACCTGCAGTCGCTGGCCAGCTGCCCCTCTTGGAGTCGCTGTGGAAAGGCAGGGGCTTCGGGGTCTGCAGAGCAGCGGCTAAGCCCGACCTCACTCTTACCGCAGGAACCTTGGGGAAGGTGCTCGCTCTGAGCCGAGTCCCCCGACTGCAAATGACAGACAGCAGCATCCTTCTTCAGAGAGTCCCTCGGAATTCAGAGAGATGGGGGGAAAGGGCCCCCTGCAAAACGCTCTTGGGGGTGCTGGTAGCCTCCCTCCCTTCCTGGCTCCCACCCCCTTCCCTGAGAGTCTGGGAGAGTGGGGAAGGGACCCTGGAGAGCTGTCTGTCCCCGGCACGGAGCCCGAGATGCCGTCACAGCGGAAGAGGTGACTTTGCCTGCCGTAGATTTGATAGATTTTGCTCCACTTTTTTTTGACTTTCCTCGTTTTATGGGTAAGACCCGTGTGCTGTGTAGAGAGGGTTTTGTTTTGTGACCCAGTTTGAAAGTCCTTCCCTTTTTTTTTTTTTTTTTTTTTTTTTTGAGACAGAGTCTCGCTTTGTTGTCCAGGCTAGAGTGAGTGCCGTGGCGTAGCCCTAGCTCACAGCACCCTCAAACTCCTGGGCTTAAGCGATCCTCCTGCCTCAGCCTCCTGAGTAGCTGGGACTACAGGCATGCACCACCATGCCCGGCTAATTTTTTTTATACATATATCAGTTGGCCAATTAATTTCTTTCTATTATAGTAGAACGGGGTCGCTCAGGCTGGTTTTGAACTCCTGACCTTGAGCAATCCGCCCGCCTCGGCCTCCCAAGAGCTAGGATTACAGGCGTGAGCCACAGCGCCCGGCAGTCCTTCCCTTTTAATAGGCAAGTTAGGACCGCTTGCGTTTATTGTTATGATAGATCCGTCTCTGGTCTCAATCCTGTTTTGCTGTTTTATGTCGTGTTGTCAATTTTTATGTCAATATCTCCAAAACATTTCCCATCTTGTTTTCTCTGTGATTTTCTGTGTGCGGTGGGCATGGTTGCTATCATAACTCTCTATCGGCATTCGCCTTTGTGCTTCATCAGACAGTGTGCTCCCCTCCTCTGCCTCGTACAGGGGAGAGATCAGCTGGTTTCCTGCCCTTCCTCGGCCCCTCCGTCTCTACCCCCCCCCCCCCGGTGCTGTTCGGACTGTCCCCAGCACTTGGTCTGGTGGCGCTGACACCTCTGCGGCCAGCTGTGCAGAGCGAGGCGGAATTCAGCTGGGCTCGGCCCCGGTGCACCTCCCGCTGTGAGCTCCGACGCTTGTAAGATGTCCATGTTCATCAGCTAAGGGCTCTTGACACATGCTTCCGAACCCTGGC